GAAATCGAAGACTTGCTAAACAGCAACCCTCTGGAACTTATTTACGGCAATGAGGATACGGTTACATATTTGCATTACAGTGGAACAGAACAACTCCTGACTTGCTCCTGGCTTCAAGCGACATCAGCGAGCATACGCACCGCAAAATAATGGACGACCCTGGTTCTGGTCACAAATCAGTCATTGATACTACTACCATCGGCAGCAGAAGCATGACAAGGAAAAAGCCAACTAAGCTATCATGGAACTTCAAGAAGGCTGACTGGTCTAGATTCACTAACCTTTTAGACATGGAGCTTCACACAATTCCCCTCAACTTCAACCAACATCCTGACAAACTTTGCAGCGAAATCACGAATATTATGATTAGATGTGTAAAGTAAACTATTCCCCGTGAAAAAACTTAACACTGTCGAGTGCTTTGGTCTGAACACCTAGAGAAACNGTCATACATAGAAAACCATGCAAACGTTGATGCAGGTGTCTATTCTGAACTCTTCTCTTTCTACACAACAGCGGGACACAATAGATCCGCTTTTGATGGGGAAATAGAGGCTATTATGATAGCACTATGCCAATTATGTTGCCTGGATACGAAATTCACCAAAGCGGTGATACTTTCGGTCTCACAGTCAGCAATAAACTCAATTGGAAGCAGAGAGCCACCCAAAACAGCTGAGATAAAGGAATGTAGAAAACTCTATGAGCTGCTGAGAGAGAAAAACAAAACAGTGGTCCTACAATGGATTCCTGGTCACTGTGGCATTAAAGGCAATGAACTTGCTGACAGACTTGCTAAGAAGGGGACTACAATTTTGCAAGGCATAGACTGGCCGATGTCTTTCCACGCAATGAAGGCCTTAATCAGGAGAGAATTCAAGACCTCAAGGTGGAACGAACTTAAAGCTCGAACAAAGGAGAAACAGTGGACAGTGGCACTCTCCGACATAACCGACCGGCCAAGAATCGAAGCCGTTGCTAAGTTTAGACTACGTACTGGACACG